GCTCTCTACATCTCATTCCGAGATGAGAAAACATTGTCCTGGGCACCCCGCCTTGTACCCTGGGAATTGGCCTTATTTCTCCATATCCTTTACTTCATCTCATTCAAGTTCACAAACAGGTTCTACTAAGTTCCCATCCTAAATATGTTCTGAAACTAACCTTTTATTCCTATCTGTACTATTATTCTCTTAATCCAGATTCACATCACCCCCAACAGGAATACAACCTGTTACTTGGTCCTCCTGTACTCAATTTGGTTCCACATGTATATGTTCTCCAGCTAGCCTCCCATGTATTCTGTCTAAAATGGAAATCTGAAGATTTCACCTCTCAGCATAGAACTCACAAATGGTTCCCTTTTCCTATAGGGTAAACTACACATTCATTACCATGGTCTGGATTATTACTTTTACTCCTTGAATCACACTTTCCATTCTAGAAGTACTGTACTGCTTATGGTTCCTGGACCGCACTTGTGCCTTTCTGGTATTGTTGCATTTAAATTGAAGTGTTCTGGGGTCAACAAAGACTGTGACATAATAGGCCCAACTATACTACAAAGTTATAGTAACCAAAAGAGCATGGTATTGGTATTAAAAACAGATGCATAGGTCTATGGAATGGAATAGAGCTGATAAATAAGCCCATGTATATGTGGTTACTTACTTTCCAAAAAACAATCCAAGCATATACAGGGGGAAAGGAAAGTATCTTCAATAAATTGATTTGAGAAATCTTATACAATATATAAAAATCAACTCAAAATGGATTAAAAACTTGAATATAGGACATAAAACCATAACACCCCAAGATGGAAACAGAGGGTAAGCTCTTTGACATCAGTGTTAGCAATAATTCCTTTGAATTTGACATTAAAAGCAAAGACAAACAAGTAGGCCTCTATCAAATTAAAAAGCTTTGGCACAGCAAAGGAAATAATAGACAAGATGAAAAGGCAACCTATGTATGGAAGAAAATATTTGCAAATTAAATTTTTGATAAGGGGTTAATATCTAAAATATGGGAGAAGCTCACTCATCAGAATAGTAAAAATAAATAAATGACCTAATTAATGGGCAAAGGACCTGAAGACATTTAAAAAAAAAAAGGCATACAGGTGAACCACTGCTACATGAAAATGGGCTCAATATCACTAATTGTCAAGAAAATGCAAATCAAAGCCAGAATGAGATATCACCTCTCATCTTTTAGGATTTTACTGGGATATAGTTAATTAAAATTCAAAGAATCGAAGCCCTAAAATGAAAACTTCACTTGCTCTTTTGGTTGTTGGATTTCATTCTAAATTAGTAAGAAAGATGTACATAAGCCTAACTTTAGTAATATGTTTTGGGTTGTGTAATTGATTTTGCTAAATCAGTGATTTAAAATTTTGCTGCACAGAAAAATAATATCTCAATCTGAATAACAACTTATACCGATACTATTCTTTATCTTAACTGAAGGACTAGAACTCCCCAGATGGAATATATCTTTCTATTTATAGCTTTGAATAATAAAAATTCTCCTGTTTTCTCTTCTATCTTTAAAATGTTCTCTTTCTTAGCAATAGGGTCTCATGTCAGGAACCTGGGTTCTTCTGCAGGAACTGCTAACTTATCTTTTGCTGAAATGAGCATGGGCTCTCTCCTTGGCCAACATGGAGTTGCATCCAGGCCTTACAGATGGTCTGTGTTTCCACAGTTCCACACGATCAGCAGGGAGGGAAACCATGATCTCCCTGTCGGTGAGGCACCATCAGGAGGAACTGACATTGATAATCTAATCTGGATAATGAAATCAGCAAACCCTTGCTCTTCCAGTCATTTCAAAATTATCACCTCCTCCCCACCCCCCCACATTGGATCTCATTCCTTTATGCAAAGCTTTTTCATTATGCAACACAAATTAAAGCTATGCAGAATGGGTCAGCACATATGAAATCCTCATTTTAAAGCCGATTTAACAGGAAAATTAGTATTGCCTTATTAAAACAAAGATTGAGTGAAACAGAAAGTGAAATTTTACATAGAATACTTGTATCTAGCCTTAATGCTGAAAATTATATTTAAGCACACATACAACAACAGCAACAAGCCAATCAAACGAATGATAGGCTGTATAGTATTGCTTTTTTTTTTACTGTAATGTATCCCTTGCTTCAGAAACAATAGTTATATTTTAGATAATTACTAAAATTGAACAGCAGAGGGCAGAAAATAGCAAACTGTTTCTTGGAGCACACTCTTCTATTTAACTGTACTAATAGTGGCTTTGAAATTTTCAAAATAAATTTTCTTACTGATCAACTTCAAACTATTCTTGAAACAAAACCTTCTAAATATTTAAAGTAAATTACAGTATTTTAAATTTATTTTCAAGACCATTTACTTCAATCAATTTAAATTTACAACATTTATATTGAAAGTATTCTGTGTTTGAAAAATATAAGCTATATAAATATGACAGTGAATCTTAAAAAGTCCCATGAATTATAATAATAATCCAATTATGCTAGTATTGCAGGAAATATATCCAAATATATTGTGAAATGTACATATATTACTACCATGTGAAAGACACATTAGTAGAATAGTATTTAAATTACAAGTAATGCCTATTAAAATTGTATTCCATTTATATGAATTATAATTGGCTAGTAAATAGTAATGTTTACCTTGAATTCTTACATATGATTTACTAGGAAAAATGCTCCATGATTCAGCAAATTCTTATTTTACATAATTTGATTCTATGCAGTGCAATTCAGTGAATTTTGAATTAACCTTTGCCTTGACTTTGAAGTAGTTTTTAGAATGTCTCTTTTTAAAAAAAAATTACATTGAAACATACTATAAACATTGTTTCTCCACATTTAAGCTTCTCTCTCTTTTGCTCTCACTTCTTTCATTATAAGTTACTTTGTGTAAAATCAAAGTTTTTCTTTGAAAATAAATGGAGAAAACAGAAAATTGTTGAAAAGGTATTTTTATTTTGCTCTGAGCTGCTATTCATTCTTTTAGATATATATTTTGAAATCTTCAAATAGGGAATCAGTTCATATCATTATTGTGCCTTATATCTCAACTAGGAATTGAGCAGGTAAGATTTGTTTAATTATTCTTTATACTTCAAATTGGATATATATTTATGTCTCTTTTACTATTTTATTCTTATTTAATTATTAAAAGGATAAATGCATTTTAATACACAGAATCCATTTCCTATACTGTGAAGCATTTATTAACAAACTAAAATAATTTATTGATGATAAAATCAGCAGGGTTTTTTTTTTACCCATAGGGTATAAGTGTTGTAATAGATTATAGAAATTTGCATTCCCTACTTGGGGAACACATATCAACAAACAAAACCAGGGAAAAACAACCTGAAATCACAGACTTGTAGAATCTTGAGAGCCAGAGTCCATTTTGCTCATTTTTCAAATGGGGAAATTGAGGCCCAGAATGCTGAAGGGGCAAATATTCTACATACAGTCAACAGGAGGCTACAAGGATGACAGTCACATGACCGTTGCACAGGAAAGGCAGCTTGGTAGGCTGACTTTCTCAGCATTCTGAAACACTAGCTAGTTACTCATTTGGTATCACAGTCTCTGATCTCATGGTTTCCGGGACACAGTCCCTGGTCCTCAATTTTCCTTTACTTCTTTGTTTGAACCAAAAAGCCATTAACTTTAGTGAGAACTGTCTGAGGCTGCAGAGGGACTTGCCAGACCATGTTCCCAGAATGGGTTTGGCAAGCAGTTTCACATGAAGGGTTCACATTTCACAGGGGGAAGTCCACTCTTCGCTGCTCCCCACTCACTCTCGTCCCCAGATTCACAATCTCTAGCCTCATCTTTCTTTCCCAGCAGTCTTGAGCTCGCAGGTTACAAGTGATGAGAATTTAGCTTCCTCTCTTTGGGCAGTGATGCTTGAAAACTTACGGCCAAAATGCGATGGAGTATTCGGTTTCTAGGTGTCTGGGAAAGAATCAGTAGCTCAGCAGCCTTTCTAGACATGCTTTATCGTCTAATTCCTTTCTCCTAGGAGCCTTTCCTTCTTGAAATGGAGTCTTCTGCTTTCAATGTGTACAAAGCAAGGGCTTCTATTGAACCACGTGTGCATGTCTCTGCCACAAGAGTCTGCAGTGAAGGCTGCGAAACATCCCCGCACCCAGCTGGCTCGGCAAGTTGGCATCATAGCCCAGGGGAATCACCCTCTAAAAAACTGAATTTCCATTTAAAGTATTTCAAAGATTCTATCTTGATCTTCTCTTATGCGGCTTTAGCTTCTAAAGATAGAATTTTGTCTTTTTCCTGGATCATGCCTATGTCACCGTTAGCTAAAGTTCACAATTTGGGAACACTTCCTCAATGGGTATTTTGTTTGCTTATTTGCTTTTTAGCCGGGTCAGGTGAAGCGGATGGGATGGCAGCCTTTCTATATTGCTTGGTGGTATTCACAGGGTCTTGAAGATAAAAATCAAAATTACTTTTAACGCAAAACAGCAGGACTGGTGACAGAAGGCTTCACTGCCAACAACAATTAGCAGTTCGGCTGCTTCTGCACAGCAGCCGGAAATCAGCTTTGCTGCATTTGGTCCAGGCTGGAGCATCTCCCCGGCAGCTGCAGCGGCCGCACAAAGGTAGCCTTAGGCCGATAGCAGGGCGCTGTCCTCGGTGCTGAAAGGCACCGAGCGCGGTGGGAGAGACAGCTCGCGAGACCGGAGGGCTCGCCAAGGGATACCCGCTGCCAGGCTCTGAGCCGCGCTTTCTCAGCGCTGTGCACGCGACTCTGCCAGGGCAGTGCGGGGTGCGGGTTTGGGGGCGGGGGAGGGGTGGACGCGCGCGCCAGCAGCCTGCTGTGAGTCGCGCACGCGCGTCCGGGACTGCCTGCCCCTCTCTGTGACTTGCGTGTGTGTGTATGTGTGTGCGTGTGTACGCGCGCGCGTGAGAGAGAGAGAGAGAGAGAGAGAGAGAGAGAGAGAGAGAGAGACTGAGAGAGACTGAGAGAGGGAGAAGAGAGCGCGAGAGAGGGTGAGTGTGTGTGAGTGCATGGGAGGGTGCTGAATATTCCAAGGCACTGGGACCACAGCGGCAGCTCCGCTGAAAACTGCATCCAGCCAGTCCCCTGGACTTCAGGAGCAGGGACAGGGTGCAGGGCACCAGCAGCCACCAGCAGGACCTGGGAAATAGGAATTCTTCTGCCTCCACTTCAGGGTTGTAGCAGCTTGGTGCTAAATTGCTCTTTCAAAATGCGGAGGATCTAATTTGCTGAGGAAAACGGCCAAAGAAGGAAGAGGAGGAAAAGGGGGAAAAAGGGGGATATTTTGTGGATGCTCTACTTTTCTTGGAAATGCAAAAGATTATGCATATATCTGTCCTCCTTTCTCCTGTTTTCTGGGGACTTATTTTTGGTGTCTCTTCTAACAGCATACAGATAGGTAGGTACCCTTTGTGCTCTGCTTTTGAATTGTGCTTAATTTGGTCGTAATCTTTGTTCACAGTGAACAAATTAATTCATGTCATGTAGACTTATGTCATACCTTGACTGCATTCCAGATTTAAACTGCCTAGAATATACATGTTTTTATCAGGATGAAGCAAAGGGAAAAGACGATGCCTTTGGTACAATAGAGGAAAAAATCTTTTCATTTCTGGCCCCCAGATTTTGTGAATTCTGCCTTAACATGTTTCCGATTGCTCGGATTCTCTAGGGGGTTTGAATGCAAAGCTTGTGATTAGGGGGTAAGGCGACGAATGTTTCTGGCCACCTACCTTGCCCTCAGACTCTCATCTGTGCCTTGATGCCCTGGCTACCATTTGGATGTTTGAAACCCCGCTACCAGAACCCCTTGATGTGTTTATTGTACCTATTAGCATGAATAAGAGACTACAGGGCTGTTAGGTGCTAGCGGGCTCCTCTCCTTTCCCGCCCGGTCACTGACACTATTCTCCTGCTTGGTGTTTGTTCTTTGCAGGGGGGTTATTTCCCAGGGGCGCTGATCAAGAATACAGTGCATTTCGGGTAGGGATGGTTCAGTTTTCCACTTCAGAGTTCAGACTGACACCGCACATCGACAATTTGGAGGTAGCAAACAGCTTCGCAGTCACCAATGCTTGTAAGTAATGAATATTCATGTCTTTCAGGTGCCGCACGCGGAAAGCCAGCGAGTGTGAGTGTGGAGTGGTGTGTGCGTCTTTCGGTGTGTCAGTGCGTGCGTGTTAGTGACTGTACACGCGCGTGCGTGTGACAGCGTAGGGAGAAAGTGGCTGCAATCTCGGGGAGCCCCGTTGTTTGGGGAGTGGAGGGGTTCAGAGGGAGCCAAAGACATTGAAGGGTGTGCGCACTGGAGAGGTGGGTGGTAGCTGGAGCTGGGGAGCTTCCTTAGGTTCAGGGAGGTCTAGTATATCTTGAGTGCTTACAGAGAAGCTCTCCCTGCCCGTCCCTTACCCCCACGTTAAATGCCTGCTAGCACCCTGTGCACAGAAAACACGCTGTTCCCCGGGGCGCCCCGTCGGGCTTTCGGATAGATCCCACCGGGGACTGCCGGGGGCTGGCGGAGCGGGGCTGCCTGCTTGCAGCCCCGGGTGCAGATCTGCAGGATCTGCAGGCCAGCTCTCGTTCACTCTGCAGACCCGGTGAACCCTAGGTTACCCGCCCGGACGGGACAAGTAGTTAAATGGTTCCGGAGTTGGGCTCCCAGCTGTTACATAACGCCCACCCGAGGGGCGCGGTGCGAGCGCGGAGCGAGGCCGACGCAGGCTCCGGGAGACCCGGCCGCGGAGCGGTGGAGCCGGAGCGTGTCGATTTCTCGCCGCCCCGCGGAGCCTCAGCCTTCAGTTGACCCCGGCTGCTCTGCCAGGGGGCGGCCCGCCGCCGGCGGGGGCGCTTTGTTCTCGGGTGGCGGGCTCCGGCCAGGGCAGCGAGAGGAAACGGACCTCGGAGCAGTCGGATCCGGCGACTTTGAAAACCTCAAGTCGCTGATCAGCCATTTTAGTCTTTGCAGTTAGTTGTCCATTAGAAGCCCCATCACTCTACGTGGTGTCGTGGGATGAAGCTCTCTTAAGGCTGCAAAGTAACAGAATCTAAGCAATTGAGTCTCTAAAAGGTTCCATGCGAAGGCTCCCCGGCGCTCCCACCCACGCGCCCGCGTGGGCTGCGCGTCGCTGTCCCTTCTTGCGCTCTCCCCGGCAGCTGCCATCATGCGCCTGCCCGCGGGGCTGGGGGGACGCTTCCCTGCCTGGATGATTTCAGTTTGTGTCTCATGTTAACAGTTTGGGGGGGAGGGCGTTGCAGATGGTTCGCCTCCCACTTGGGCTACAGTGTAAAGGAGCGAGCGGAAAATTACCACAGAAAGAAAAAAGCCCAACTGCTGTCTTCCCACCATAGACAACTGGTGCCATCCCGTTTCCCCGTATTAACCCTCAATCATGCATTCGATCGGTTAGCTCGATTTTCGTATCAGGAGCATCGTCGGCTCATTTTGGAACCACGGTCCCCCGGATGAATGAAGAAATGAAACAGTTGTCTTTGCTAGAGGAGGGTCATGATGATGGTCATATTAGATTAGATGCCTGTAATTGAATTGTTTTCAAAGAACCTGTTTAAGAAGGTTTCAGGGCTACATGTTTTCTTTAAAAATGCTGATACCAAGTGATAAAAGAAACGTGGGAGGGGGAAGGGAGAAGGAGGGGGGAGGAAGGAAGAGAGAGAGAGAGAGAGAGAGACTTTTAAAGTGAATTTGTAGCTTTAAAAAAATCTCCATAAAAGAATATAAGAACATTTGGAATACACACACACACACACACATATATGCTGTAATTTAAATTTTTTAAATTTTGTTCTTGACCTGTTAACCTGCCAGATTTAGATTATTCATTTGATTTGATATCAGGTTTCTAGTTTTCTCCTGAATTTTGACTCACATACAACTGGCATACAACAAAGTATCTCATTGAATGCAATTACATACTAGTGTGAAAATGCTTTGAAAAGTAATGAACCTAAGTAAGGCAAGACTATGATTACTGGAAGTAAGTAAATTTTCAAAATGAGAAGAAAATAATTGACAGCTCTGCTCTTTGAAACTGGTCCATGACTGAGAAGTTTACTCATTGGTGAAAACAGTGAGAAGGCCTGGCTAAGAAGATAGCAGATGTGTACACTGAACAAAATGAATATTCCCTGAGTCCAACAAATGTTGAATCGCTGTGTTGGAGTTTTGTAAAGACTAAAGGTTATGATTCGTTTTGGTAACTGATTTACCAATATTCAGTCTCAATATTTTAGTATAAGTTTTATTGAAATAAGATATGAAAGCAATGTAAATATATTAACATATATAACTCCAGGAACTTCCACAGAATGATACATCCATGAAATAAGGACACGGATTTCATTTAAATGCACAATTTGTTGGACCACACTCCTGAGACACTTATGAAAATCACATCTTCATTTTGCATAGATTTTTTTTTGTTTTGCTAAGAAAACGATGCTGAATTTCGAATGTATATTTCTCCAGATCCCCAAATTGCTCCTTCATAGATTATTATTGTAGGACACTAAAACAATGATGGTGAGGAACTGAATCGTGGCATTTGAAATACCCATGTCATAAGTAGACTTACTGATTGCTAAAGAGAGCTATGAGGCACTGTTACAGGAGAGAGCTCATTGGATAGAATTTTCTGGAGTTCACGTTAACTCACGGACTAGGCAAATCATGTAACATACGTGTGGCTCCGTTTCTTAACTCTTTCATGAATTTCACAATCTGGAGTTTGTAAAATGAAATGGAGTGTCTGTACCCTTATTCATTTTATTTTTTCATGGGCAACAGAAAACATAAAAATAGTTTAACTCCTTTCAGAGAGAGAGAGATGCTTATGTAAACTACGACAAAGTCAACAGCAAAGAAGTGAATGGATCTCTAACATCAAATTTGTTAAGATAAATCTTGATCATTGAGATCCCTCTCAAGGTTTTTCCCTAGTGTTCTGCCTTTGCTTTCTTGCCTTTTCAGTCAGGGAACCCATGATTCTTCCCTGTACGAAATGGAAGCAGCAGCATCAAATGCGTTGACAGCTGACACCAAAATGACTTTCTCCCATTTCTTCCGGAACTCTGAGGAAGTCTGCTCTTAAACTCCATTATTAAAATATGTGCCATCAGTCAATGTTCATGCAGTAGCTCCTTCCTCCTCCTCATTAAACCATAATGATCACACAGACTTAAATTTACATATTGAGAAAGCGGAGCTTTATGCTTTAAAAATTTCAAAATAGAAAAAATATTTGTTGGCTAATTTAATTTTATTCCCGAGATGAGGGAACTAAATTAGAAATGCCAAGGTTGACAACAACTGAAGGATCCAGCAGGATCTACCGAGTGGGTGAAGGTTATGCAAACGAAGTGAAGTCATTATATTCTGAGCCGGGAAAAATGACTGTGCAGTGCACTGCACTCCCACATCCTTGCCTTTCACAGTCACAGAGGGATAATGCAGGGACCCATTTGTTCCCATTTGTTTCCATGGGTACCTGAGGAAATAAAGACAACTTTCCAATTTCTGTCTTTCTCTCTCTCTCCCCCTTTTTCTTCCCCCCTCACTCCCCCTCTCCTGTCCTCTTTCCCTTTCTTCTTAAGTACAAATAACACTAAGGTTTATAAATTTTTTCTGAAGGCTATTTTGATATAAACCTTCATTATAAGAAAATACAAACCATAACACTAGAAGGAAAAAAACAGAATAGCATCTGAGCATCTGATTGTTCAACAGCTGAAACCAGAGATGAGCCTCAAGAATTTTCTCCCCACTCTCTCTCTTCTTCCTTCTCTTTCTTATTTATTGAATGCCTTTGTCAGAGACCAAATGAATACTTTTCTTATATTAATTCATTTGTGCAACCTTTCCCTCCTACGCTCTTTTGGGTAGTATTCAAGGGTTTGTAGGCCTTGATGCCTTCTGTGTGCACTGGCTGCTGTGGTCTTGTCCAGGAGCCTTTCTGTGTGGGTGTGAAGATGGCCTCACAGTTCTTATACAGAAGCAGCTGATGGCAGTAATTCAAAATGTTTGTAAAAATAATGAATTTGATATTGCTTGTGTGCTTATTGCATACTGCTAACAAAATGAACAGCAGATTTTAGAAAAATACTAAATAGCTTTGCATTTTATAAATTTCAATAAACTTTAATGCTGAGCTCATCACCAAAACTTGTTCACAATAAAGCTGTCTAAGTGGGCTGTAAACATGATTTGATGCTGTAAGATTTGGGAATTTAAAATATTAAGTATTAAATTTCCAGTTCAAAAATCTTCTTATTTAATTCATGAATGGCTTGGACAAATGGCCATTAGTCTGTTTAAAAATAATTTAATAATTTTACCTTTCAATTTCATAAAAATAAATAACAAAATATTACATGTAAAGAAATAGCCGATAAAAATCTACTTTTTCTCTAAGCCAGTAGATGGTGATGTTGGAGAAAATATTGCTCTTTCATAAAACTGTTGCGCACACTGAATACCTTTTGAAACACTGCAAACCAATTCATTTAGGAAAAATTAAAAAATATAAATTGTGTCTACTTTGAAAAAAATCACATAAAGTGTTTGAAAGACAATTCCTTATGCCTTTTAAAATAGATTATCTTAGACATTCTTGTAAAGTTGGCTTATAAAGGCATTTGGAAACCGCACTGACTGTAAATGCCCCTGCGAGAGAGAGAATTCTAAAATTACATTTTCAGTATTTTAGCCTTGATTCACCAAACCGTATGGATTCCCCCAGTTAACTCCAGTGTATTGTACATTATAATTTGATACTTTTCTATGTATTCCATAATGTTAAAAATAAAATGGTCATGAAAGACTATTTTTCAGAGAAAAATATAATTCTCCAGATATCATTTAAAATGTATATTTCTTATCATTGGGTTTTAGTCATGAATTATTGAGATTGTATGTCTGTGTTTATCGAATTAGTTCATATTTGCTAAACCTTCACTAGACTTCATATGAATGCAACTTCATGTGCGTGTATGTATATATGTATATATGTAATGTGGGTATGTATATAAACATATTTATAATGTGTACATAGACATACATATATG